CAATTTTCCAGCTATATGACGGCGGTCTGTAAAATAATCGAGTCTGGACCAGACAATCCAGTGATTGATATCATGAGCATCGATCCACGCAATTGGGATCGATGACATTCATCAACCAAGTCAGCGAGCCTGACCACCCAATCCCGTTAGTCGCTTTTTACGACAAGCACAGTCGCCTTTTACGGCAAGCATGGGTTGCTGAAGACCTATTCTAACTCGGAATCTTCACGGGCTGTAAGCTCACATTGTGAATGTTACTTTGATATGTATTTGACGGCGTTAATTACTCACAATGGCAGAAGTAAACAAACCAGCTTTCAAAGACTTCATTTTTCTTAATGCCGACTGAAGCTCTGGCATACTGGTGATTATACCATCGAGTCCAGTTCTTGTCATGATGTTCGAATCAATCCATTTCCTCTGGATCCTTCGTATTTAGTAGGTTTTGAAAATCGTTGTCTTTCAACTCTAATACTATTTCCGTTTTACTTGAAATCCTGATTGTTGACAAGTATAAACATTTGACATCAAAGAAACTAAACACATCACCAGCACTGGGCGGAATATCGGGAGGGAGATAGCACACATACATTATAGACACACTTCAAAGACTTGTGGCTAAATGATAACCATAAAGTTCCTACGGTATGATTATCAAGAGCGGTTACTTTGTAAGAGTTCAACGTACCAGAAAAACAACTCCAACACAGTAACACGAAGCGTCTATAGGATAAGGCGCGGACGTCAAAGTGGACACCCCCAGATCGGGATGTTTTTGCCCCAAGCGGCCAGCCAAGGCCCTTAAATAGTGGGGCGGTTAAGGCTAAAATTGTGCACTTTGGGTTAAAAGCACCAAACTTGGCACATTTATACATTGAACCATTCCAAACATTTTTGGATATGGATCCACCGCAGCAGAGCCCCCTGGTGGTAGAAAATCCAAGCTGGCCGCCAACATGGCTGAACTCTCTAATGGTATCAATATATATATACTCAATATATCATACTTATCTGATCCATTTATACATATATCCATACTAATGCATGCGGAATGAATTGCAGCAGAGCTGTATATAATTCAAATATAGTTTGCAGCGGCCCCTGGTGGTAGAAAATCCAAGATGGCCGCCAGCATGGCTGAAATCTCTAATGATATCAACCTGTACTCAACACATCATAGTTATCTGGCCAATTTATACAAATTATCATTGTTATGTATTTAGGAGTAATCACAACAATCCTGTATATAATTCAAATCTGGTATGCAGCGCCCCCTGGTGATGACAAAAATCCAAGATGGCCTCCAATATGTTTAGTTTTCAGAAATTGTCTATTTCTAGAGCAGATATAGATATCATTTGATATCTTTGAACTAAGGATAAGTTGATCAGTTTTGATATGATGAAACATTTTAAATGACATTGTATCAATTAATATGTATTGTCTATGATCTATTCTCGGCATATTAATTTATAAATGGTCTACTGGGAAAGGTTCCACCCAGTTTATATTAGATCACCCCAAAATCATTCATCTGGGAATGGATTCATATCTTAAAAACAAGGATGTATGTAAAGGTATTATTGACATAATTGCCATGAACCTATGACATTGACTTACTCCTACTTAAGTAGGACCAGGAATATCGGTTCAATGTATGTGTTTACGGTTCTATAATTCACTTACAGTGAACTCTTTCCTTTAAAGTATCACATAGCACTGTACAGGCAGGCAACGTTAACCCATGGCTACAAGATTCTGTAGTGTGGGACGTTTGTCAAGCACCTATCCCCAAATATGCATTGGTGCTGTCTCAGAGCTGCCTCTTTGGGTTGAAATGTCAATTGTCTGAGATCTTCATGAACAGAGATTTTGCCTTTCATTGACCTTCCAAATAAACCAGTGAGAACGACAAACCGCTCAAGAATCTGCATTGATCAAGAGATATCTGCTGATGATGGGAAAGCATTGGTGACTTCAGGAAATACTTGACACGTATCCCAAGCATATGAACCGGTGAAGGCAGGAAATAGTGACAATATCTTTGAATTCCGTGGGCCTCTAGAAGAAAACTCTCGGCTGTTTCAGTCAACCAAACTGCACCTCCATCTCCTTTCATACGGCTATTGAATTGTTCATGTGTCTGACCTTGTGCCACACAAGAGAATGTCCGTTTAGTCTTTAGTTTAGTGTGTCACGAATTCACCGGAACAATATTCGAGGTACAGCGGTGCTCGTGCTCTACTGTAAGAGGGACATATCTGTGAAACGCAAGCCATTAATATGACAAGTGATGCTGCAAACTTTGGGAAATCTGCTTTTTGAATTGCACCCACCAGGCACAATATACAAAGTTCTTGTTCAAGAACAAGGGGCCAGTTTCCTTATATCGCACATATGTCCGATGTTGTAGTAAGGTGGGTACACATGATGAAGGAATCAACAAATCTGACTGAGGCAATTCCAGCAGCACAAATTGCAGTTTTCCATCTACTTCCTTCGGGACAGTTTCTGAGAATCCTGAAAGCAACTATTTTTATATGCAAATGTACCAAACATGATAAGGAAGTTTATCACATATCATAGCAACAGAGTGTACACATTCTAGAACATTGGCATATGGGCAATTGTTTTTGGAGGCTATGTTTGTCTTATTTTCCCAATACTTCCTTCATGTGATATGACCAGTTTTACTCATGGTCAGGCAGTGTGTTAACATTATCTACATCCTGGGGGAAAGGTAATTTTAATTGAGGCACATAATTACCCATCTTGCTAAAACAGGATGGGGGTACATTAGTAATATACTGTGGGCTGTTTGGAAATTGTTTTTCCTTGTTTGTGTGCATTCTTCAGCCAAAAGAACAACATGTGATGTTCCTTCCTCTTCAGCTTTTGAACGCTGCTGCAATAGTGAAATGTTGGTACCATGAAGTGGATATGTTGCTGTTGTAGAGCAGGGATTATGATAGATGTTATCTTTTGAGAATGTTGGTGGGTATACCACACCTTCTTCTTCATAAACACCACAAACTGTGCTATATCTGTTCAAATACACCATATTTTGAAATGTGTAAACAAGATCACGTTTTCTTGTTTAATACCAAGTAACCTGGGACTTGTATTTCTTGGCCTCAGTGGTGTCTTTGTGTTGATGAGCTAGTGCACCAAGATTTCACGCTTTGAAGATAAGATGTTCTGAGATACAGTAAACTATGTTTATAACGAACACGCTTATAACGAACTGGCGGAACTGGTTTTGTGGTCCAAGCCATTTGCTGTATATATGGTGTATATATGTTTATAACGAACTACGGTTACAACGAACTCAAATTAGTGGTCCCTTTGAGTTCCTAATAAGTGTAGTTTACCGTAGTTTTTTTCATACCTGGTCCTACAAATTTCATCATACTGACTAGAGCTTTCAATGAGGCAGGTACATACTGTTTATGGAAGTCAGAAGGAAATGTTCCTCTGAAAGTTTGTTTCAACCTTAAATCACGTCTGTGGATAAGTGTTGCTCGTTTAGTTAGCCTTAATAATTCAGAATCAAAAAGGCATGTTTCAGTGCTGGTCCAATATTTTTATCACATTCCAAGTTCAGTTACCGAATTTTAACCAAGTTCATGCAGTCCAATTTATTCCCCAGATCTGCCTTACGGAATACAGATCTTGCTTCAAATGAATGAATTTTAGTACCAAAAGCTTATACATTCAGTAAAGCATTACTTGGAAATGTTTTGAAGCCATATTTGATTGAAATGATTGCAATGAGCAAATGATACTGATATTGTGGACAAACATTTGACATATTTTGAAGATTAAGTCATTTTGGCGGCCATCTTGGATTTTCCTCGCCACCAGTGGACGCTGCATACTAAATTTGAATTATATACCACATTTACTCAATTAATTTTATATAAATGACTAAAATTGACAAAATAATGATGATACATTGAATATAATTTGACGTCATAAGAGATTTTAACCATTTTGGCGGCCTTCCTGGATTTTCTACCACCAGGTGGCGCTGCTGCGGTGGATCCATATCCAGAAATGTTCTGAATGTTTCAATGTATAAGTGTGCCAAGTTTGGTGCTTTTAACCCAAAGTGCACAATTATGACTAAAATCCAGCCTTAACCGCCCCACTAAAAGGGACAGGACGCCAATCGTTCTCAAGCATTGTTTGTAAACAATAGCCGCCAGCGCCTGAGCTTACCCTTATGTTTGCCTTATTCCTCAAGAGAATTTTTCTGTTCACACTGCGGGTGTAGGCTTATCTCGTGACTGGATTTTTCTCTTGTTTGTAAACAAACGCACTTATTCTGAAATAAGAACTTACTAATGCTTTACATATTGTTTTGCATAATGACATAGACATACTACTACAACTGCGACAGTACGGCGCATGCCAATATAGCTTTACACAACAAAGTGATCTTATCGCTCGCTTTTCGTTGTTCCTTGACAGCGTGTTGGGGACAAATACGCAAATGGATACCCGTTTTTGACGTTTTAGGATATTTTCACACTGAAACTTATGTTTATCGAAATGTGAAAAAGAGGGAAAATACATGAATGAGCTGTGTAAGATGTGACGATGTGACAGAGGTACTAGGCTGGTCGCATGGAACTCTGGGTACGAGAGTGATGGGCTTCATGTGACCGGGGCATATTTATATTGTAATCTAGGGTTTTCACTGGATACTAATCCACTTTAGCTGGCAATTAGCATTTTGTAACTCATCTATAAGAAAAACACACGAGGTTTCAACCGACATGAATAATAATGCCATAATGATGTATTGCAGGGTTTGAATATGCGAAGAATATGTGTTATATACAGGCCCAAGTGGTTATTTGGCTAAAAACATTTAGCATACATAAGCCATAAAAATACATGGGGGCTTCCCTCAATCTGAAAGTCGTCCCACTAGTCTTTCCTCTTTGGCTGGTGTTATTTGCCTCTGCTCTATATCCAACATTATTACTTATCAGGGTCATCCCAAAGAGAACTTCGAGAGATGTGCCACAAGAATACGCTTTATGACAGAAGCAACAAGTCAAACACAGTTCGTTGTCTTCTGACCAAAGTCCTTCCAGAAATCTTTGCAAAGAAGGATATATCTGCAATAGTGGAACTTCTGGCAGTTCCAGTTCCTGAGATACAGAATAAAGCTCTAACCAAACTCAGGGACATCCTACTTTCAACTAAACCCGACGATATTGATCCGGAGGATCTGCAGCTGGCTGAAGAGGCGTTGTTTAAACGATGTCTCACAATGACTGGTCCCACACAGACACACCCAGAAATCCTGCATAATTTGATTTGCACGTACCTTCTGGCGCTCGTCTATTTAGTGGTGTCCCAAGATATGAGTCATTCACCCTTGGATTCCAGGATCAAACTGTTAAAGCAAAACATTTCACAACCAAGCTTAGGAAACGATTTTCCTCTCAGTGACATCATGTTTTTTGTTGATGACATTCAAAAACGTATTGATGACGTCACCAAAGCAGTGACAGCTTGTGGAAGCAGTTGGAAGCAACTTTCTTCAGTGAAGAAGAAATCTTGGCCTGTTCATTTTTCTATGGTCTTGGGGACACTTATAGAGGTAAAACAGCAACTTACATTTATGTTGAAAGCAAACATTTTAAATCCCAATTCCTAAGTTTAAAAGTCTCTATATACTTTTCAAGTGTTTTAACTGTGAAATTTGTTTCTTCGGATTCTAATTTACCATACATGTTACAATTTACATGTAAGATACAAGGTTAACGTATTTCCAGGTACATTGCAGGTATTCATCTTGAAGTGGACATAAACCTCTTTAACCTGTTTGGCACAGTCATTGTACGGAATCTATATCATTTGTTTCTTTCGCCTATTTAACCGCTCATAAGATGGTGACGAGTCGAGTCGTTTTGACGTCATATTTGAAAAGGGAAGTAACGTAACACTGATATACTTTGAAATGGAAAGTTTTGATCTTGCGCTTTGTTAAATTTCCCAAAGCAAATATAACCCGAAATAGAAAGAGTTTCTATTGTTTTGTTATAGTCGTAACGAACATGTGGACCGCATGCTCATGCTTATTACAATCAACCAATCGGTGTCAGGAAAGCGATGTTACCTTAGGGCTTTATATCAAGAATGCTTAAGTTGCTATAGGAATTTTGTCCACAATTCAGTGGAATTATTTATCTTCAAACGATATGTTTTGTTTTATGAAACAGGTGTTTCATGGCGATCAACAGACTGCCCTCATGGCCTTAGACACACTCCCAGCACTACTGAAGCCAGGGAAACCCAAAGTTCCAAAAGTCTTAAAGAAAACCAAACCACACGAGAGAGTCATACAGTTGGTCACAATTGGGATGGTTGCATACCTGAATGCATTAGGTAAATGGATGCGTGGCTGTCCCAGGATTGTTAAGATTGCAGTCAATATAAATTATTGGAAATATATTATTGTTCAAATAATATCATAAATGCAGATTAATGAGCTATTAAATACGTACTTTCTTTGTTTTGTGATTCGTGATTATTACAAATCAGCAACCTAAGAATCTCAGGTCTTTGTTTCCAGGTTTCTACAAACTAGGAATTACATTAGATCGATTTTGCAAGTTGTGAATGGTGCATTTTAGTTAAATCACTTTAACTTCGTTAATAGGAGATACAGAAGGTGGTGATATAGAGGATCGTGCAAAGTCTGCTTTCCAAGCTCTTGGATTGTCACTAAAGTACTTGGACAGAAGCATATATGGCATGACAAGATGTTTACTGTTTTCCCAAAGTCCAGCGATCAAACAAGGTGCCGTTTCCATGTGGAAAAATGCCAACGTAGATGCAATTCACAGTTTTATTACAAAAGAGGTTCTGACACATCTACATCCAATCAGCATCAACCGCCTGCACAAGCAACCAACCAACCATTCTACAAGCAGCACAAGCTGGAAAGTAGCTTCTACCAAAATGGGATCAGAAGAAATCATGATTCACGTCAATTTACCAACAGGTTTGAAACTAGGAGGTTGTCAGTTGAGTATGAGCACAGCTGAAGGATATGTCCAATAGGTATTTTGTTATTCGGGTCTCGTGTAGGACACTTACACATCTATTGTGTGGGTAGAATGTAAAATGTCAAGTGCTGTTTACAATTAACTGTTCAATTTATACATATACAATGTATGTGCTATCCGTGGATTCTCGGGTAATTGGCTTATGGTTGTACTCCAGCTGATAAGGATAACAAGGTACAACTGGGGCTAAGACCAACTGTAAGATTACCTTTTTCCCGATAAGGTACTGTAATTTATCCTCTATCTTTTACTTAGTCGGACATCAACACTCCACGTTATGCTCTTGCTGCATACAAACTATGGTTTAAGTATTTTCAAACTTTCCAGAGGACGTCCTTGTGGAACATAGCAGAAGTCCATCCAAATCGTCGGATTGTGGTCACCTCACTACAGTCGAGATTCTGAGAGCTCTTTCTACACATAAGGGTATCCTGTCTATGTGGGCGTACAGAATCGACCAGTTCCCTGTTTTCTACATCACTGAGGATTACAGCCAACAGAACTTCCAGAAGGTGCTGTATTACAGTGCCAAGAACAAGGACTGGTTTAAACCTCTTCAGCTCATGGAGTTCCTAATACAAGCTCTGGAAGCAGTTATCGCCCTTCATGAACATGGCACAATACACAGAGATCTTACTGCTGCCAGTTTCGCATATAACAAACAGAGCAAATCTGTCAAGCTGTGTCGCTTTATGTTGGCTCGAAAATGTGGAAGAGGCAAAACTCTTGTTGGTATGTCCATACATGTTCTACTATTGGTAATGCATTATTAAGTACACTCATCTTTAAATACACAAATATGTATTGTATTTGTGCTTGCTATAGCTACGTATAATGACTTATTTTCTTGTTAGACAGAGAATGTTCAACCATTCCCACGAGATGGTCTTCTCCAGAGTCCCTCAAGAAACACCATTTCTCTATGCGGTCTGATTATTGGATGGTTGGGCATCTCATCTATGAAGTCATCACACACGGTTGCCTCCCTTACTCAGATCTCAAAGGACAAAATGAGTCCGCCATTGTAAATCTGGTAAATGTTCCTTAACGCTCACGAACATATAACAATAACTGAATTTGTAGATGTGGTTTTACACTATAACCAACTATTACCACCCTTTACCAGGACATACGGACCTTTACACCCATTCAAGTTGGCAACAGTGGCAGTATGATTGGTTTTAGTTGACCTCACATTCAAAAGCTAAAGTTGGTTAAAATAATCTGGGTATCGCTGTGAATCATTCGGTCTTTCCAAACGTATTAGGTTGTCACATCATGTTGAAATATTGATCAGCGTAGTGATAACCCTCACTCATTCTAACACATTCAATTCTCACTTGCAATAAATTATCAGCATAATGATTGAATAAATTCAAATATTTCATGTTTTGATTATCAAGGTTCTCATGATGATAGCCACATACAAGCCATCTTATCCTAGATCTGTCCGGACATTTTTCATAACAAATGTCTGACTGGATCACAGTCCGTAGAAATTGAAATTACTGGACAGGCAACATAACGTATCGTGTCGTTTGTATGTATGTATTGTGCCCTGCTTGTTTAGAGTGTACAGTCAGTTTGCTTCTCATGCTCCAGATAAAGGAAGACAGAAAGAAGTTGTGCCAAGAAAGGTGCATCCCTACATCCGTGTTTGACGCCATCCAATGCTGCACCCGCTATGATGATACCCATCGCCTGTCCGTGTGTGAGGCAAAGAGCAGGTTGGAGGAGACCTTCGAGGTTTACAACGGCCGCAGGGGTAAACCCATATAACATTTCTTCCTACAGCATAACAAGCTTTCACTGTTTGACCCAATGTTCATCCTTGTTGGATGACACTGTTGCCAAGGAGGTTAATGTTTTAGAATTTCCCGATTGGATAAAATTTCCTGATTGTCGATTAAATAAAGCATTATGCTGTACAATGTCAGCGGGTTATTTCTCACATAGATTATCTGTATAGGTAGCAATTTTTGCTCTCAATATATTTCTTATGCTAGTCTGTGATCTCATTATATGTATTGTGTACTGTTGCCACTGTTAAGCATTTTGTGGCATGTGGTTGTCTTTGTATATATACACGTATTTGCATTATTGATGTTCATTTAAGGCATCAGTGTATGCGCTGGAGGGTAAATCGTTTCGAAGATAGTTCTTGTTACCATTATAGATACCTCACAGGGTGGAAACGTTTGTACATACAGGTTTGTGGTAAAGATGAAGTTAATTACATTCATATTCGTATACATATTTGAAAATGGAAGACACAACTTCACCTACACTAGTTAATATTTCTAAAAATTAATAATAGGGAATGCAGGTGTTTCTCGAAACTAAATTTCAAAGGATAAACTTTAACCCAAAAATTAAAATAAATGGCATCTGAAGTTTACTGAGAAACAATATTGGAAATGCTTGATTTCCTCATTGTTAACACATCTATGTGAAATTTGGTGCTCAGATAATTAGGCAAGAAGTAGGTATCAACAAGAGCACCAATCGTACTAATCTTAATGCATATGAATCGGGTTTTCTGATCGGATAGGAAAAATCAAAACAAGGGTATTCGACCAAGAAATTTAACTTGAGCTTCAGGTATATCGATGATCTGATATAACGGTCGAATAGCGAAGTCCCTTCCATTAGAGTGACAAAAAATGTACAAGACTGTATGACAAGGGCGATGACTTCAACTGTCCAAAAGTCAGCTTTACGTACATGTCAAACAATATTCAAGCATCGCCAGCCTTGTTGTTCACAGTCACAACATTTGAGGTGGCAGGTGAAATTGGGTTTAACGTCGCGTCCAAGATTATTGCACTTATATAGCACGTGTGTGTGTGTGTATGTGGCTGCTTGTACTAGTCCGGACTGATGCCGATTTATAGTGCTAGCTCACTGAGATACCATGCCACAGTTGAACATGAATACCCCACTCAGACACAGTATACTGACTCCGAGCCGACCAGTCCTTGTTTTAGCCCCTTAATATCGAGTACCAAGTACCATCTTTTAACGTCTTTTGGTATGACGCGGCCGGGGATCGAACCACGGACCTTCCGCTCTCCGGGCGGACGCTCTACCACTAGACCACGGAGGCAGCACCACAACATTTGAGGTACAACCGAGTATGATCTTGCTACGGCGTAAACAAAGAGCGTAATACGAAACTTCCTCAAAAAGCTGCGTGATAACGGTTACAACATCACCTTGTTTTATCATATTTTAGCAGATAATTGTTGCCTGTCTGGCGCTCGGCATTAAGGGGCTAAAACAAGGACTGGTCGGCTCGGAGTCGGTATGCTGTGTCTGAGTGGGGTATTCATGTTATACTGCGGCATGGTATCTCAGTGGGCTAGCACTATAAATCGGCATCAGTCCTGAGTAGTACAAGCAGCCACACACACACACACACAGACACACACGTGCATCTTGGACGCGACGTTTAACCCCATTTCTCCTCACCTGGAAATCGAATTCCAAGATTGTGTAGTTAGTTATCTCTAAAATACTTTGAGTTTGACTGCCTTGTTATAATCATACTGAAACGTGTTTATATTGTTTCAATATATACATTTCATTTATTAGAACAATACTTCATCCATGCGATGTGTTATAGAACGACCGCAAAGGACTCCAGACATTTTGTTTCCTGGACTTGACAGAACATCCTATCAAGGTCTCCCAAAAGAAGTAAGTGACCAAGATTTTTTCGTTCTCTCATTAATTATAAACTGCATGGGCGGATACAGGTTTGTTTTTTTTGGAGGGGGGGGGGGGGTGCACAATTAAGATCTATTTATTGTCTTTGGTGGTAATTTATACAGAAATAAAGATTTTTTTCGAAAAAAAAGGGGGGGGGGGGGGGGGGGAATAGAATATCCTTGCGGTTGAGAGTTGTCTCCCTTCGGAAGATATTTTATTTGTGAGTGTGTGCCTTGTGAGGCTCTGAACAAAACTAACCTCATACTAGTATCAGTAACACAAGAAATTATCAAGTCGATCTAAAATGAACCATGAAACACAAGCAAATTAGGAAATTAAGAAGACAATGTTTTGTTTTTTCAGGGTTCAGAAACGGAATATGGTACGTTGTTACTGACATATCATCACATTTAAGTATACACCTTAGAGTGCGAGGGCAGTTTTAAGCTGACAGCGTGCATTAACATCAACAATAAACTAGTATATATTCCTTCGTAAAACCCTTATAATTTCATGTTATAAATTGAACGCTATTGTTGGTATCAATATCCGAAATGCATTTCCGTTTGTTTGTTGAATTTTTCAGATATATAAAACGGGTATTTCTGGTTTAATCCGTATAGGCGACTTTTAGTTTGGCCAAACAAGAATTTGATTTATATTCAACAAATTCATATACATATCATGGAGATTTTCCTTGAACGTTTTTGCGAACACCTGGTGTCACCGCTATTTGATAGTGATGCACACAAGCTTATCATTTAGTCGGAGTCGTACCGTGGACTCAGCTTTTTGTACAGATTTCTTATAATTTCGGACCCGTGAAGATCCGGGGTAGAATAGGCCTTCAGCAACTCATACTTGCCGTAAAAGGCGACTATGCTTGTCGTAAGAGGTGACTAACGGGATCGGGTGGTCAGGCTCGCTGTCGTGGTTAATGCATGTCATCGATCCCAATTGCGTTGATCACTGATATCAATCACTGGATTGTCTGGTCGAGATACAGACCGCCGTCATATAGCTGGAATTTTGCTGAGTGCGGCGTTAAACAACAAACAAACAAACAATCTTGATTTCGGGTTATGTCTAATATTTACAAAGATAAGTTTGCTTCAAAACCACATACCTCCTTTACCTTTATGAGCCATATAAATGGTCAGTCTTCGGCACACCCGTTCACTCATTATCAGGAAAAATCATTTATTTTTAATTTATTTTAATATTTTCACTTGAGGAACTAAATTCATTGTCTGCACATATTGATTACCTGTCGTGTGTAAGTAACTCGCACATAACATGTCTTTTTAGGCCTGATTGATTATTTCGAGTATCAAAATCTCTATGAAAGGGAAACTATTTCAACAAATGATGAGCCGTTGTACGAGGAATTCGGAGTACACGAGGGTGTATATTTTCCGGTAAGGTGTATTTTCGCATCGTTTTTCCCTTCATGTTTAACACGTTGTAATGCATGACCATCTGAGCAGAGTCACCTTGTTCCATGTCTTCACACCCAGAATCCTTTCAATCATCTCAGGGGCGGTCGGGTAGCCAGGTGGTTAAAGCGTTCGCTCGTCACGCCGAAAACCCGGGTTCGATTCCCGACATGGGTACAATGTGTGAAGCCCATTTCTGGTGTCCCCCGCCGTGATATTGCTGGAATATTGCTAAAAGCGGCGTAAAACCACACTCACTCAACCATCTCAAACACAAGCATAATATGTACATACAAGACTCATATACTGCTTCCCGTGAAGATTCCGGGGTAGAATAGGTCTTCAGCAACCCATACTTGCCGAAAAAGGCGAGTATGCTTGTCGTAAAAGGCGACTAACGGGATCTGGTGGTCAGGCTCGCTGACTTGGTTGATGCATGTCATCGATCCCAATTGCGTGGATCGATGCTCATGATATTAATCACTGGATTGTCTGGTTCAGACTCGATTATTTACAGACCGCCGTCATATAGCTGGAATATTGCTGAGTGCGGCGTAAAACAACCAACCAACCAACCAAAGGCGAAACCATTGGTCAATGTACGTTAAAATGCGTGTCTTACTTACCAATATTGGAGATTTTACGTGCGCTTTCCGACTGCAAGCGTATGTCGCACACGGGCCCGCCAGGCCATTTAATGTGTTTCCGAAAGGCGGAAAAGGAAGTGGTGGTGCAACCCAGGAGGGGGGGGGGGGGGGGTGGGGGTGGGGGGGGGGGGGGATTAAGGGTTGCTTATATAGTTATTTTGAGATTTGGAATGAATGCCAAGAGTGGGTAGGGGGTGCATTAAGCGAGTTGTGTGTGGTGGGTGGTCTGTTAGTTTATGTGATTTTGTTTTTATTAGTTTATGTGGGGTTTAAATGCGACTAATTAGTCCTGTTTTAATTAAGTATATGCCTAAGGCTTTTTCTAATTTATTTTGTGGATTTAGGATTGATTCTAGAGTAAGTACAGTATTAAGATTTAGGGTGGTTTGTTGTGTTTTACGATGTGTTTGGTAGTGTGTGCAGTGGATGAGTACGTGTTCTAATGCGTGTCAGTTATGTGACCTATATATACCAGATAGGAACGTTCTGATTCACACGGGCGGTGTGGTAGTCTATTGGTTAAAGCGTTCAATCGTCACGCCGAAGACCAGGGTTTGATTCCCCTTATGGGTACAATGTGTAAACCCCATTTCTCGTGTCCCCGGCTGGAATATTGCTTAAACCTCACTCACTCACTCACTCACTCACTCACTCACTCACTCACTCACTCACTCACTCACTCACTCACTCACTCACTCACTCACTCACTCACTCACTCACTCACTCACTCACTCACTCACTCACTCACTCACCCACCCACCCACCCACTCACTCACTCACTCACTTCCCTAGATCCCTTCCATGCATGGGTATCTTCCCTAATTTGTGGTACCGTAAACCGATTACTTGATACAGAGATCTGAAGATCTCTTATTGTTCCCTAATACGTTTCTTAGCTTTCGTCAGATAATAAGATGGACATACTGTGTCGTCGCCTGACGCAGACAGAAGAATCACAATTGAACACAGAGAGCATCCCAGGAATTCACGGCCATGTGGCTGTTGAGAAAAGGAATGAAACAGAATACCTGGTAAGATTATCATGTAACAAAGGCTGACATAGTAGCTACTATTAATTGCATTGGTTGTGGGTTAGCCTAGTGCATAAAGCGTTCGCTTCCTCGATTCGGGTTCGATTCCTCACACGACAATGTTTATAGGCCATTTTTTGGTGTCGTGATATTGCTAGAATATAACCGAAAGCGGCGTTAGACCCAACTCAATCGCTCACTAATAGGTAAAAGGCGACTAACGGGATCGGGTGGTCAGGCTCACTGACTTGGTTGATACATGTCATCGATCCCGATTGCGTGGATCGATGCTCATGATATCAATCAATAGGTTGTCCTGATATATTGTCTGTCTAGATATAGCTGGAATATTGCTGAGTGCGGCGTTTAACAACAAAACCAACCAACCAAGCTCACTAATAGCATAATGACACTGTCCAAGTATATACGTTCACATTCGCCCTTATTGATATAGTGACCAGGACTCTGTATTTACTATAGAATTGGTCTTCAGCATCCCATGCTTGCCGTAAAAGGCGAGTATGTTTGTCGTAAAAGGCGACTAACGGGATCGGGTGGTCAGGCTCGCTGACTTGGTTGATGCATGTCATCGATCCCAATTGCGTGGCTCGACGCTCATGATATCAATCACTGGATTGTCTGGTCCAGACTCGATTATTTACAGACCGCCGTCATATAGCTGGAATATTGCTGAGTGCGGCGTTAAACAACAAACAACCAACCAACTGTATTTACTAATATACCACTTGGACACAGTATACTGTCTTCGTGCCGATGAATCCCTTGTCCACCCCCCTAATGCCGAGCGCGTGGCAGGATAACAACGAATACCCTCTTTTAACGTCTGATGATGTAACGCGGTCGGGGATCGAACGCCTATTCATTTCAAAACATATACTCATACGATGTAAGTGACTTTGCATTTTAAGCAGTACCTGTTGCATATCATAGAATCAAACATAGACATTTCTTCCTGGAAATAGATTATTGTTATTATTTTTTAAGAATGTTTCTTTTTGTATTTGTTTGTTGCATTTTTTTAATTTTTGCTTATCTAATAGGGTATTATATACCATGCAAAAAAAGTAGGAGATAGTGGAAATCATCAAGACATATCTTCTTATCTATATGGTACTGGAAGATGGAATGGATATGATCATGTCTGCTGGGGAGTAGACGATCGGATCTAATGTGCTCTAATGGTTGGTGTGATGAGATTGAGGCGCACTAGGTCGTTAAAGAGGTCGAGTGTCAAATTCGAAATCTGCCTTTTGCGGCAAACGTCGCCAAAATCGGGTAAAATTACCTCTGTTGGCTAGACACGCACGAATTCTTTGAGGCATGTTTCTGATGAGTCGATCAAGGTTAGCTTGATTCATATTGTTCGACTTATCAGTGAGAGCAACACCGAGTTCAGTGAGAGTGGTGGGTGACGTTGACGTACACGTCTGCCAATGACGTCCCTGATGTGTTCAATGTGTGAAAGGTCATGAGAGAGTGCTGGTCATGGCATGACATAGATATTTTGTTGTTGTCATAGTCCTTGCACGATGAGCAGGTGCATATTTTAGAGATGAAACATTGCCCAACGTGTTGTGCAAATAGCACCATGAGTTGTGCAATGCTGTTGTTCCGTTGTGACTCTGCCATGGACAATGTGGAGCACAGTTCAGCCAGTCATTGCGATACCACCCTATCCAGTATGGACCCACCCCCAAACGATCATGTAACGTAACGCCACGTCCATACAACGCTCATTATGACGTCTCAATTCCTTCGGTCGAGGAAGTCGAGGGTGACAACGATTCGTCAGCCCAACATCGATTATCCGTATGCTGACGTTCCCTCCACTGAGTCCTCTGATTCCAATGACGTGTAGTAAGTTGTGGGAAAACATGTGAGTGAGTGAGTTGGGTTTAACGCCGCTTTTAACAGTATTACAGTTATATCACGGCGTGTCAGCTGAATGTGGGAGGAAAGCCCGAAGTGATGCAGGTCCCAGACGTTTACCACTTCGGTGAAACCCACGAGCACGGGTATGGTGCTGACAAACCTAGAAACATAATCGGGGCGAACCGGGATTCGAACCCACAATCATAGGTTTCTGGCGTGCCTAAGGGACGCAACTCAGCACAGCGAATCGCGGCGCCTTAGACGACTGGGCCACCCGTACCCCCGGAAGACATGTGGACGTCGTGCAGACAAATGCATGGTACATAGCCATATACTCTTACAACTGTTGCCTGTTGCTACCGGCCCTTTATCTGAGTGCCAGTTTGCAACCGATTTCTTGATGCCATCGTTCTTACTAATCTGTTCTGGGCTGCAGTTGCTGCCCTTGGGCGCCAAGAGCGGCAACACGTTATCTGTTTGTTGACCGACAATCTGCTGATGACATTTAGAAACATCAGCTTTAACATGGCTATGGCACGTAAACCTTTAAGCACTTTGCAAACGTTACATGATCAGTGTTATTGATTTTGAATAAATAAATGTGTTTAATAAAGTGTCTTTGAGCGTTTGGCTTCAAGAAAACAATATTCTGAGTGACAATGGCAAATTTGGCATGTGCTGTCCGAGGTCACGTGTTTAATGACTGACACAATGTTGTATTTGGCAGCTTGATGTTTTCGGAAATGTTCTTGCCACATAAATCACTTACTTTTATTGCCAAACATTGTGTATTGTCCTGTAGGTTTACCTCAAAACAAATGTTATGCATGTGACTATAATAAAATGGAAACGTCTTCAGTCTGTGTTCGGCGGTTTTTATTATGTTTCAAACGCTGTGGTGTCCAATGGTGAGCATGTTAAACGTCTTCTTTAAATTCGCCTCTCCTTTAGGATTTGGGTACTTCTCATAACAATCCCATTTGTAGCCAAGGTGCATATATGTACAGGTGTACAAGTTCCCAACTGGAAACTGTTTCTCCCTGAGGAACGTGCCGGATGCTAGGAGGTGCGACTTATGGTCTGTTGATCACATTCGCTGTTTGAGTGCAGTGGCAAAGACGTTGTCTCTTCTACATCAGCAAAACTGGGTCCATGGTTGTCTATGTGCAGATAATATATGGATTGCTGATACTGAAGATAACGGCAATTGCACGGTAAGGTCAGCATATAGACTAAATCTTAATTATGTTTCCTACATATTTTCTCATGTTAAAAACAACAACTGTTTATCACTAAAATCAATTATGTATTTTGTGATATAACTACAATGTGCCCCAGTCGTCAAAGTCACCGCAATAAGCTGCACAGTTTTGTCCCATTTGGCGTGCCAGAAACATATGTTCTTGGGTTCGAGGCCCCCTTCTCTCGGCTTATGTTTCCAGGTTTGTCAGCACATAAGTGGTTGTGCTGGGACTTGCTTCCTCTTGGTCTTTCCTAAAGCTGAAAAGTGATATCAACAAGAGTTTTCCACTAATGTGTCTATATCCCCCGCCCCTGTTGCAGAATATATGACATAATTAAATCTAAACAAACCCTAATCTTTTTTAACCGAGGTGGAACTTGTCGGGGAAATTGTAAAAAAAAAAAGAGTTTGGAACCTAAGTCCATCTTGTTGCCATGGAAACGTAAAAAATAAAAATTTCTAAAATTTCTCATTAGCACAAGGTACCAGTTCAGCATGTACTTGACAGACCTGCAGAGTTTCATGAAAAAATATCAGTTCATCTCTCTCTCTCTCTCTCTCTCTCTCTCTCTCTCTCTCTCTCTCTCTCTCTCTCTCTCTCTCTCTCTCTCATGCATATACTTTCTGTCTGTCACAGGTATACTTCTCAGACCTTGGATATATCCGGAAGTCATGTGACACTGAGGATGGAATGATTGCCGATGACAGTTTTGTTGTACCACAGGATGACCATGTGTACAGAAGGTAATTTCTGGAACTTAATTCACCTGTTCACTTAGGCGCCGGGATTTGCCATGCACTTATTCCAGGTTCCTCTGGTGGCAGGTTCGAATACCAAATTCGTACAGAATATGATCCTTGGTTTGTCATCACCATACCCATGCTCATGGGTTTTATCAAAGTGGTAAACGGTTTTTACCTGCACCTTTTTCCCATCACAGGCAGCTTAAAACCTACTCGTGGCTCACTCGCTCACAACAAGACATACTTTGATGAAGCTTCAACCTTATCGTTACATTATATATTATTTTCTGTCAGATCACCGCCTGAGGTAATACGAGACGGCACCTACTCATGGGCGAGTGACGTCTTCAGTTTTGGCCTGGTATTGTGGAATACGTTCTCCAACTTGAGCACATACCGCAATCAAAACAAAATGGAGACTATACCAAAGGATCAGGTAACGTCTTTGCCGAGCTGTATCGTTATTTTAAAGTTTTTCGTTGCCACGCCCTAAGTTTCTTGGTTCGAATCCGAGGTTGCTCTGTTAATGATGCTTGGTCGTTCTGTACACTTTTTTCGTCGTGTGTTTCAACAAAGTCGCCAACGTTTTGTTTTCCAGAAACGTTAAGTTGACAAACATACATACTAGAATTATCACACGACCTGTATTTAGCCATCCTCCAGATATCTATTGGAGTGTTCCTATGTTTGCAGTTATATGAGTACCTGACCACAACATCTGGACAACAGATTCTTCCCAAACCTCCTGAGTGTCCGGATACAATCTATTCTCTCATGCTCCTCTGCTGGAGCCCAGAACGACATGAAAGGCCACGGATGACAGTTGTTCAACAGAAACTACTGGAACATACAAGGTAATGTTCCTGATTAACGATGGTACACCCCACAGTCATTAGACTCTTAACATTTGCATTTAGACTACGAAATCTAGTCAAGTACAGTAGACAATTAAACCTGCATAATTTCTTTATAAAATACTGTTGAATTATAAATTCGCCTCTCTTCACGAAATTCATCAGAGTTCTCGCCTTGATTTTAAACCAGTGATCAGTCCATGCCCCTCTCCGTTTGAGAGGCTGAAAATAGTATGGTTTTCTTTTGCCCTTTTTACATTTACTATATCTTAAACAAGACATTTAACATTGTAATGCTTCTTTCAGAGATGAAGCCTGTCCCTACAGAAATCCGGATGAGTATGAAACTGTAGAAGAAGAATTATATGAAGATCTTGGTCCTACAGTCACCATAGATTCCGGTGTCTATGATAGTTGCGCTGAATCTTCCTTACAATGTGATGGACCTCGCTCGTCCCTCACATTATCGTCACTGGTCGGCGGTAGCACTGATGTCTTGGTTGACAACGAAATAGGTTTAAGTCAGGCACAATTAAAAGGACAACAAACATTCAAAGTTTCACCGAGTCCCAATAAGCCAAGCCTTAAACCAAAACCTTTGCCAAAGACTAAGAATGACGGAAAAGGCATACAATTACAGAAGTTCCTAGCGGAATCTGTGGAAGTAGCATCGTCAAAACAATCATTTGGGATTTCCTTTCAAAGTTCAGGATCAAGCACATACACCTCACAGAACATGGTGTATGTTCAACTGCCACATTTGGGCAACCAAGCCCATATGCACTGTGTTCCAAAAGACTTGATTTCCATTGGTAGACTCGATACCCAGTATGGCATGTTTAATGATTCAGTGAACATTGTTGAAAAGACGAAAAGGAATGAGAAACCACGTCTCCCTCCAAAGCCAAAATATCTGTCTCGCCATACACCAGATGTACCCACAAGTGATCAACCATGTGGTGATGCATCTTCAAGTGATGATCAACTATATGATGACTGTACGCATCATGTAGATAAAAGCCTCGAATTATCTCCCAGAAATAGACCCGAACCACAGCAACCGACAAACCAAACTGGGCTGAAGCCGAGCACTGTGCCACAACGGGTGGCGAATGTCAATGGACCCCCTTCGCTCGACAGTCCTCCACCTCTACCACCGCATCCTCCCCCACGACGGAACAATGAAAAGTAACAGATGACACAACAGTTCAGGACGACCCTCTGTCAATGACAATGATTCAAATCTGATTGTTGGTCCATGAACTTCATCCTACTGTAATCTCAGACGCTCTCCAGTGAGATTCCGACTTGTATCTGTTCAAGTATACATGGACCAAACGCAATTCTATTTCCGGTTTGCATTGATGAATGAATGGATGGATGGGTGGAAGGGTTTGGGTGAGTGGGAGGATGGATGGATGGATGGATTTAGTTCCTCCTGATAAATCCGAAGATTCAAAATCCGATAAATCAAAACATCAAAAGTGTGTACTTATCTACAAATAACACAAATCACAAAGGTGGGAACATTGTCCCTCAAACATACAAGCTATAAACTGTGAGAAATACTGGTAATATCATTTCAAAGTTTGTTCAAGATATTCTTTATATTCTTTATACTATATAGATACTCAGAGAATTCTATAATAGTAAAATACCACGTTATTTCATCAATATCATTGTTATCAGCACCAAGAATGAATGCTTACATTCCATGGTCTTTTTTCAACATCAAGATTATCAATTACAGACGAAGAGAATACATCTCTCTCTCAATCTGTTATAACATGGTTACCCATAAATGTGGCAACAGGTATCAATCTGTCATAACATGGTTACCCATACATGGGGTACAGGTATCAATCTGTCATAACATGGTTACCCATACATGGGGTACAGGTATCAATCTGTTATAACATGGTTACCCATAAATGTGGCAACAGGTATCAATCTGTTATAACATGGTTACCCATACATGGGGTACAGGTATCAATCTGTCATAACATGGTTACCCATACATGGGGTACAGGTATAAATCTGTTATAACATGTTACCCATACATTGGTTACAGGTATCAATCTGTCATAACATGGTTACCCATAAATGGGGTACAGGTATCAATCTGTCATAACATGGTTACCCATACATGGGGTACAGGTATCAATCTGTTATAACATGTTACCCATACATGGGGTACAGGTATCAATCTGTCATAACATGGTTACCCATACATGGGGTACAGGTATCAATCTGTTATAACATGGTTACCCATATATGGGGTACAGGTATCAATCTGTCATAACATGGTTACCCATACATGGGTTACAGGTGTCAATCTGTCATAACATGGTTACCCATACATGGGGTACAGGTATCAATCTGTTATAACATGGTTACCCATACATGGGGTACAGGTATCAATCTGTTATAACATGGTTACCCATACATGGGGTACAGGTATCAATCTGTCATAACATGGTTACCCATACATGGGGTACAGGTATCAATCTGTTATAACATGGTTACCCATACATGGGGTACAGGTATCAATCTGTCATAACATGGTTACCCATACATGGGGTACAGGTGTATCTGTTAAAACATGGTTACCCATACATGGGGTACAGGTATCAATCTTTCATAACATGGTTACCCATACATGGGGTACAGGTATCAATCTGTCATAACATGGTTACCCATACATGGGGTACAGGTATCAATCTGTCATAACATGGTTACCCATAGATGGGGTTTCAGGTGTCAATCTGTCATAACATGTTACCCATACATTGGGTACAGGTATCAATCTGTCATAACATGGTTACCCATACATGGGGTACAGGTATCAATCTGTCATAACATGGTTACCCATACATGGGGTACAGGTATCAATCTGTCATAACATGGTTACCCATACATGGGGTACAGGTATCAATCTGTCATAACATGGTTACCCATACATGGGGTTTCAGGTGTCAATCTGTCATAACATGGTTACCCATACATGGGGTACAGGTATCAATCTGTCATAACATGGTTACCCATACATGGGGTACAGGTATCAATCTGTCATAACATGGTTACCCATACATGGGGTTTCAGGTGTCAATATGTCATAACATGGTTACCCATAAATGGGGTACAGGTATCAATCTGTCATAACATGGTTACCCATACATGGGGTACAGGTATCAATCTGTCATAACATGGTTACCCATACATGGGGTTTCAGGTGTCAATCTGTCATAACATGGTTACCCATACATGGGTTACAGGTGTCAATCTGTTATAACATGTTACCCATACACGGGGTACAGGTATCAATCTGTTATAACATGGTTACCCATACATGGGGTACAGGTGTCAATCTGTTATGCATACCTTTCATTGCTCACTAAACTTATGCAAAGGTCACGTGATGTATTTTTTAAAGGAACAATGCTTTGTATGTATTTTTGTTTTTGTATATTGTGTGTAGAATTATTTCAGCATAAGTTTGAAATTTATATGTATAGTCTTTACAATAGTCATTATATCGTCCATAATTCATATAACATTGACATCCATGTGTCGTCTTTTAAACAACAGTTGATTAAATTCAATACATCTTAAATCCTCACAAATACTAATAGATTAGTATACTTTGCCTGGTTGATATATATTGTTTGTTTGTTGTTTAACGCCGCACTCAGCAATATTCCAGCTATATGACGGCGGTTAGTAAATAATCGCGTCTGGACCAGACAATCCACTGATTGATATCATGAGCATCGATCCACGCAATTGATATATAATGACATGGAATGACATCGAACATGTGCTTTAGTAGGTAATGATATATGGCGTTATCGACCGTATATTATTCTTGTCTTTTGTATATGAAGGTCACAGTTTTCTACGTTGCGTCCCTTTGGCGCGCCAGAAGCTATGAAATATCTCACAGATTCGCCTGATACTGTTTCTAGATAGTTCAATACTACACCCGTAAAAAGGTTTATGGTAGTTATTTGCAGAACCCATGAAGTTCCGGGGTAGAATAGGTCTTCAGCAACCCATACTTGCCGTAAAGGGCGACTATGCTTGTCGTAAAAAGCTACTAACGGGATCGGGTGGTCAGGCTCGCTGACTTGGTTGATACATGTCATAGATCCCAATTGCGTGGATGGATGCTCATGATATTAATCACTGGATTGTCTGGTCCAGACCGCCGGTATTTACAGACCGCTGTCATATAGCTGTAATATTGCTGAGTGCGGCGTTAAACAACAAACAAACAAACGAAAAAGCCGGCAACTACGTACATTGTATGTCACTGATTAATTACTGTTGTTTATATTTATGAATTAATCCATGTCAGATGACCTTGGCTATATAAGCCTTGGTCCAGAGATGAACATCCGGAGAGATAGGGTCTTAGCCTAGCTAGGGTTAGGCTGGGTGTCCCGGGGCACCACGACAACAACCATTGGCACATGACCTGGCAAATCGTGTTTTCTGTATATATATGTCTACCTGTATAAAGCAAACTTGTATATAACGCAAGTCACCGATTTCATCTTGTCACTTCCTACCGAGAACTGTACCCTGACCCCTTGCATATAGGAATATGAAAATAATCATCAGCAACTTCACGTGTCTCCAACGTGCGTGCAGCTAGCGCGTTGTTAATATGACCTCACAATGAAAGGTCATCACTCCGACGTGCAGAACATTCTACAAATATTTCATAGGCAAATTGTGACAAATCTGTCGAATTCAGTAATACATATGTACTTAAAACCACTAAAATCATCAAGTCATGCATAACCTTTCATTATATGTGCAGTATTTGCATAAACTTAAGAATTTAAAAACAGTTCATTTGTGTATTATTACACCTGAGGCCATTTTCTTTCCAAACAATTCTAGTTATTTGTTATTTATTTCTACACACACACACACACACACACACACACACACACACACACACACACCAGACCCGTGAAATAAGTCATAAGGACGCAACTCTGTCAGAATGTTGAGATCTGATTGGTTCACGTGATGTTAATAAAATAAAACGTATCTCGCCTGTGAGGGAAACACATTTCTGAGCGAAAAAATAAACCGCTTATACCCCGCCAAGAAGAAAACAAACTTTATGTAGATTTCTGAACGGGACGATAAATCTCTTGCAACGAAGCAAAAAGCTCAGCTCAATCGAACAGGTGTTTTCTATCTGTTTTCAGTTTGTTTTAATTCATTTACAGTGGCAGATAGAAAGTGGTCAGCAAGATAAATTCGTTGTAGCCTTATCACTCGGAGTCTCTATGGCTTTATGCGTCCCTCGGTAGGCTTTATACCACTCGCCTAAATCACATATACCCCATGTGATAATGCTGCAACTTATAACATACGTGTACAATTGCGACAGGAATTAGTGTTATCTGTGTATTCGAGGACATTATTGTCGTTTTGCAAGCGGAATATCGTAGCTAACGTTATCGAAGATGGCGAATGACTTGCCTTGCCTATCAAGGCATGAATATCCTGTTCTTAACAAATCCAAATGTATTTTAAGTGAGTGCGTGAGTTAAAATGCCACGTCGCATTTCAGATATATAACGACGAGTTATTATTTGTAGAACTATCCTTGATAAATATCCGGCCATAAAACATCTTCCCGAGGCAAGAGAGTTAACTGACTTTAAAAGTCCAGTTTCCACCCTTGCCGACTCGATCGTAGCGCCACCAGTGGCTATTACCAATTATGTCCCTTCCTAGCCTCTCCTATGGACCAATCAGATTCCACCTGTCGAATCACTTGCATTTGTTTCACACAAAATGGTGGCGCCCAGTCAGGACGATCTGATCGATAATCGAGATCTATATTGTGATAAAACCAGTCTTACATCGCGAAATGCATCAAATCACGTCAGCACCTTGATTAAAAACATGAAAAGATTTGGAAAATATCTGCTGACAGCAGTTGGCGGTGCACATATTTTGCAAATCCTGCAATCGACCGAAATCTGCACGACAGTTTACGAACCGGATTTCGATTTCGGTGCGCGATTTTGATTGGACTATGCATAGACTCGTTAGTCCAGCCAAAATGTAACTCCATAATTCCAGCCTAGTACGGCAAGGGTGGAAACTGGACTTTTATAGTCAGTTAACTCTCTTGCCTCGGGAAGATGGCTGTTACACTACTGTACATTTCCTAGTTTCAGCCAGGTTAAGCTCCTTCGTAGTTCTATGCTGCATTGTGTTCTCACGTGGATCACGGCGCATTGTGTTCTCAGCATCGCACCTTATACATAGGACACCCTCCTACACTTTGTTAACCAATTTATGTAGGAAGACCATAGTTGTTGTTTTTTGTTGTTGTTTGTTTTGTTTGTTTGTTTTTTGGGGGGGTGTCTTTCCTTTTATTGCCTCAATTTGTTATTGTTATTCTCCAACAAATGAGAAGTGCAATCAACAGACAATATACTGTTAAGAACACTCAACATCACTATGTACAACAATGTTCAAAGACAAGCTGTATTCACTCAGCGTCAATATTATTAGGCTATAAAGGGCGCTTCTATTCTCCAGCTGTTTCTTAATTTGAACAGACACTTCAGTGCACATGTATATTCTAATACCTACTTTTCTTTTGCAGATATCACCAAGTCACTTTATATATTGT